GAACACCTCTGTCCATCTTGCACTGTGTCCATGGTCTTAGCTCCTAGCAGCTTTGGCCTGCATGGCTGGAACTCCAGCCAAGCCCTTCACCTGACCCTAGACCACATAATTCTGCCCATGGAGACCCAAGAATCATGCTGACCCTGGATCTTCTACCCTGGCCTGTCCCCATCCTCTCCTGCTAAATGACGCCAGCACTGTGTGCAGGAAGTCCATGTACATTGGTTCACCTGCTGAGCTTCTCTGGACCCAGCATTACCTCACCCTGAGCAGCTGTGTCCTCTGGACCCACCACACTCCACAGCTCACTGCAGCTTTTGTAGTATGTCCCTCCTGCCAGAAGGCTCCTGTGCCTGGCCCCTGCCAGACCAGTACCACTCAGCTTTTTACATCCCAACCTGCCAGCTGAGTGACTTCGAACTGTCCCTGCCTCCGTTTCCTCATCCTGAAAGGGGAATGATAGTTCCTTGTGGATTCATGAGCGCTAAGGCTGCTACATTGGGAATTACTGAGCACATGGCCTGGCACAGTGACCTTCAGTGTGTGGTGAGCTTGGCGTGAGCCTTCCAGACTGTGCACTTGAGGTCTTCCTCCTTATGCCTTTTCTCCATTCTTCTAGAGTTCAGTATCTGATTCAATATCTGTTGGTCTTGTAGCAAATTACTGAGAATCCCTGGAGGGATGACCTTAGTGCTTGCTGTGGTTTGCCAGCTTGTGGCTCCCCTGACTCTGGGGAAACCTTTAAGAGGTGGGGCTCACTGAATGAACTTAGGTCACTGGGGGCTCAAGGGGATTCTGGGACCCTGGTCCCTTCATGTCTCTCTTTGCTTCCTGGCTACCATGTGAGCCACTTCCCTACACACTCCTGCCGTGATGCTCTGCCTCTCCACGACCATGAGCCAAAATAAACCTTTCCTCCTTTCAACTGTTTATCTCAGGCATTTGTAACAAAAACTGAAAGTTGACTAACAATACAGGTAGAAGTGTTCACCTCGGGTTGGTTGGTTTGGGGAGTTTCCTCAGTGAATTAACCAGCTGGGACTCTAGGCTCCACCAGTTACTCCTAACTTGCATGTTAACAGTTATAGTTAACCTATGCAAGGTAATTGACCTGTCGGCTTCAGTTTTCCCATTTGTAAAGTAGCGACGGTAATTCTAAGGTACCTCATTTGGATCATCTGTGGAGCTCTAAGTCCAGGGACTCAGCAAATGTGGGTGACTTCCAGCAGCTGTGCTACACTGGCTTTGAACTTTGGTCATCAAAAAATGTGTGCAGGGACCACCACCAAAAAGTTCTAAATATAGCTTATTTGTCTGTAGAATACTCCAAGTAATTTATGCTTCTGACTGATGGCAATAAAATATCCATTAAAAGAGTGCAAGCTTGGTTAGGAAATGTTTCTAAAATTAGCTTTTTAATTTAAAGAACCCGTTTTCCCAACATTTATAATGGGACTTCAGAGAGCTGCCACAGAAATGTATTTTAACATTTTTTTTTTTTTTTCTTTTTGAGATAGGGTCTCACGGTGCAGCTCCAATTGGCCTAGAACTCTCTGCATAGACCAGGTTGGCCACGTTGGCCTCATTCACAGAGATCTACCTGCCTCTGCCTCTTGAGTGCTGGCATTAAAGTCATGCACCATGGCACATAGCAATAAATCTCCTTTTATCTAAATCTGTTTTTACCTTTTTCAATTCATGTTCAGCTGGAGTTGTTTTTCACGTTTTTTGAGTTTGTGTGACTTCCTTGCTGTGTGTGGAGTGACAGTGTAGGAGCTGTTCCCTAAAACAAAGGGGTATATTATTTAAAAGGAGAAAAGTCATACCTGGGAGCAACTTTAGGGGGTTAAGTTGGTTTAAAAGGTGTGATGAAGCACAGCTAAGAGAACCAGCTACTTGGGAGGCAGAAGCAGAAGAATTGCTTGAGCATCATCGAGCCAGGGAGTTTGAGGCTAGCCTTGGCAACAGAGATCTAGGCAGGGGAATGGCTCTTCCAGGAGGGAGAGGAGGGAAGGATTTCAGTCTCAGGCCCTCACTCCTCACAGCAGGGGTACTTCTGCTGGAAACCCCTGTGCTCACAGCCAGAACTTCTCTTCCCTGCCCCTAAGAACTGCCAGGCTGTCCCTGGCTTTCAGTTTGCTTGTACTCCACTGAGCCCTGTCAGGGTGGGGCTCCACAGGAGGAAAGGGCGAGGGAGGACCTGGTCCTTCTCTGGCAGGAGCTGGCCTGGACTGCCTGTAGCCAGCCCTGTACTGCAGAGCAAGTTCCTGCAACACACACCTCCAAATGGGGCAGCCGTCCCTTTCAGGATCCCCAAACACATGCTGAACCCGTGAGGCACAGGAAGTAGGACCACATTGAGGATAGCCACTCCTGGCATCTTTTTGCCATAGACCTTCACAGTGTCTTTCATTCACCATATACTTCTGTTCCATTTGTTCTCAGCAGCAGGAAGCTGAAGGGTTGCTACCTCCATAGCTCCTAGCTGGCCCCTTCTACAACCCAGGACTTATTCCAAGGGGGAAGCCACCTTAGATGCTAACTATGATGCTTTTCACATGTTTGATTGTAACATGGAGGTAATAAACTGTCTGCTTCTCAGGAAAGAGGCTGCCAACTCCCCTGTGGAAGCCACTCTGGAAGCCCCTGCAGAGGAAACTTGACACAAGGGTGTATCAGCACCTTGCCTGGGCAGCAGGACTCCTGAGACAAGGCAGTCCACACAGTTTTCGGGGTGGCCTGTCCCTCTGTGGGGTAGCTTGGAGATTGGTCCTCCAAGAAGTCTGCCCTCTGACAGTGTATTGGGGTGGAGGCAAGTGGGCTTCCCTAAGCTGCAGTGCCTGTGGCTTTACCACTGGAGTTTTCCTCCCCCAAGGACAGAGGAAGGAAGGATATGGCACAGATGAAAAAAGCTTGGACTAGGCCGTGAGCCATTGCTTGGGGTTGATGGGGTCCTTGGGAGGAGAGCTAAGCCAGGCTCTTGTCCTGGTCCTTCCACCTTCTCAACACCAGCAGAGCGGTACAGGAGCCTGGGGGTGGGGTGAGGGGGACCTTGCACTGTGTGCACTGTGAGTGTGTGCAGTCCCAGGCTCTGCCCTGCTCTGTTGCTCTCATCCCTGCACTGTGGAAACACCCCCCACCCCCTACCACCACCACCCCCAGGTGATAAGTGCCCTGACCTTGGCATGACTGAAAATGGAGATCCCACCAAGTGTTTGCAGTAGGGGCTGGACTGGGACTCCTGAGCAAAGACTCCAGCCAGATGCATGTTAGGCAGAGCAAGGCAGCTTGTACCATGCTTTGCAGAGTCTGGAGGGAGTATGAGGAAAGTACTAGAGGGTTGCCAGGTCTCCCAGAATGCAATTGACTTGTGGCCAGCTGCTGTCCCAGTAAGCAAAGTATCCCAGTCCTAAGCAAGTCCTGAATGTGTGACTCTACATGTTGCCACGTGCTGAAGCCCATCTGGAACAGTGTGCAGGAGAGCCTGAAGTGTGGCATCTACAGGGCAGCAGCTGCAGGAAGGCCCAGATACCGTAGTTTGAAAGGCACCTGGAGCTCTTGATGTCCTTCACTTGTAACAATGACTTTGCTTCCCTTTGCTGCTCTTGATCACGTAGGGCTGAGGAAGAGCACACACCTCCCTTCTTTTCAGAGAAGCTCTGGGTGGCAGCTCAGCTCTAAATTTAACCCAAAGCCCCCTTCCAGGGCACGTGTGCTCCTGGCTGCAGGGAGCCGTCTGCGGACAGATGAGGATAATGGCTGGAGAGAATTAGTCTAGGGAGGAGAGCCCATCAGCAGAAAGACAAATTTAGGATCTTTGAAGACATCTGGTCAGCAGTACTGCAGCCCGTGACTGACAGGGATTAATAATGGAAACCCCTTAGTTCACTGTTTCCGAGTTCACTGTTTCCGGCGCTCCTCGCCCACTTCCCAAGCCAGGGCTGCTATCTGCTGTCTGCTCCGCAGCACAGCGGAGGCTTTCAGGCGCCTTATCTGTGACCTGTGCGTCGAAGGCTTCAGTTTTTTACGGAGGCAACTCAGCTGGGTGTTTTCTAATGGAAACTTGATGAGGGGCCTCCTGGTTCCTTACACATTTGCTGGAGTCTCATCCAGCTTAACAAGTGCTTGCCAGTGGACCCACTGCTTGCCGTGGCCCTCCCGGTGAGCTGCGTAGTTGACCCTCCACTTCCCTCTGCCACACAGAGCTTGGAACTTCAGGGTCCTCAGCAGTTCATGTATTGAAGCCCAGCCTGCAGTGCTATTGGAAAGTGATGAACTTTAACAGGTTGAGCCTCGTGGGAAGAAGTTAGGATCTTGAGGTTGTGCTCTTGAAGTGATAGTGGAACGCTGGCTCACGCTCATGCTCTCCATTTCCTGTCTCCAAGAGGTGAAGACCTCCTCTGCCTCATACTCCTAACATGAACTTCCATCATCAACAGACCCAAAGCAATACAGCTAACTAACCCAGAACTAAAACTTCTGAAATCATGAGCAACATGTCATCTCTTCCTCGTGTTGGTTTGTCATAGCAACTGTGTATTAGTTACTTTTCTGTTGTTGTGATACAACACCATGACCAAGGCAGCTTAGAGAAGGAAGTGTTTACTGGGTTTATGGTTCCAGAGGGATAAGAGGGTTCCATCGTGGTGGGGAGGCTTGGCAGGAATAGAGGAAGTGGCTGACACATCTTCAAGCACACAAAGGAAGCAAAGAGAGACACTGGAAATGGGCAAAGCTGTATACTCTCAAAGCCTACCAGTGACATGCTTCCTCCAGCATGACCACACATCCTAAGGTTCCTTGACACCCCCCACACACACACTTACAGCACCACCAAATGGGGTCTAAGTGCTCAAACACTTGGAGCCTATTGAGGACATTCTCATTCAAACCACCACAACTGGAAAGTTAACAGGTACAGTTGACAGAGCTAAAGCCTGCCCCTGTCCTCTGCTCTTCAAACTGCCCACCTCTCAGAACCTCTCATTCTTTTTCTGCAGGCTCAGGCAGCTGGATAAACACAGCCAGGCTACAGCCCAGCAGCTGGTGCGGCTGCTCAACAAGCAGAACCAGCTTCTCCTGGAGCGGCAGAACCTATCAGAGGAGGTGGACCGGCTGCGAGCCCAGGTAGTGAGCCAATCCCGGACAGGGTGGGAAGACACACAGAGCAGCTGCAGCCCAATTCAGAGTGGGAACAGACACAGGGACCCCTGTGACTCAGCTACCAGGCCGACTCAAGACTACATGAGAGCACACACAGACTGGGGGCATGGAGGAATGTAAGTTGAGGCCTGTCCCCCATGAGACTCGGGTCCACACATCATGGAGCCATAACAAAGGTGACCACACCAAGCAGGAACATTGCTGGGGAAGAAGGGAGTGGGGAAGCAGAGATCAGGGTGGACATGTGGAGGAGGCAGCTGAGAACAGCCCCTGAGGCCCAGAGGGCTTTAACAATGGTAGAGTGAAGAGGTATCCCCAGGTTGGGAGGTCTCATGTGGAATGCAGACTTCTTATCCTAATTCAGTGGTAACAGGGCTGAGGTGGTGGATGCTCACAGAGTACCCAGTGGTCCTACCCATAAAACATGCACTAACTATGCATGCTTAACGAGCCAGCAAGATTGATTACTGTCTCCATTTTGAAGATAGGGAAACTGAGGCTCAAACAAGCTTATTCAGCTAGCAAATAGGGACACGGCAAATGGAAGCTAAGTCTGACTCAAGCCCAAGCTGTCCCTGTTCAGGTTAGATAATGGTGGAAGAGAGTCCAGGTGCGTTGGATGGGCGGCATGAAACCTCTGTTCTTCTAAATTGCTTCTCTTTCTAGCAGAGAGGCTGTGGTTTTTGCCCCATGGAGCAATTTGTTGATAAAGAGGTGGGTCCGGGGCTGTGAGCAGCCCCTGCCTTTCCTTGGGGTTGCACCCAGGTGCTCAGCGAGTGCCCCAGGGGACTCCATACTGCTCATGCTTGGAATGATTAGTGGGGAAGCATCAGGAAGTGAACATGAGGGAAGCCCGGCATCTCATTCTCCTCCCAAAATGGCCTCAAGCCTATCATCCCAGGCTTCTCCACTCAGCCTCTCCAGTCCTGCCATAAGGTACTTGCTGTTCACAGCTGCAAAAGAGCCCAGTTGGACATCAGGCAGAGAGCTGAGGCCCTGGGTAGAAGAGTGGGTGCTGTCTGGGACTGGAGGGCTAGAGGGGAGCAGGCCAGCAAGGTCTGACCATACACTCTTCCACACTGCCTAGAATGTACGTAAGCAAACAAAGAGGAATTCTGGTCATACCTGACACACTCCAAAGCATGTCGGGGAGCAAGGGCCAGGAGCCTCCATTTAGAAGCTATTAGGGAAATTCTGGGGACATGAAGAACCTCTCTGAGCCACAGTATTATCTCTACTATGGGCATTATGAATCCTGGGGGTACTGAGGTGATGTCATACTCGTCCAGATCTCAGGGACTTATCACACACTCAGGGCCACTCCCACCACCTTCCTGAAAAGGTCCTGTGGGGTCAGCAGTGACAGGACACCTTTGTTTTCCCTTGCCCCCTGGTTGTACCCAGTGCTAAGTGCCTTGCCCCCCAGCAGAGAAGCTTGACTTTGGTCACAGCCCAGCTCCGTGGGCAAGTCTAAGGGAGGTCTGGCCAATTAAAAGTTCAGAGTCACTAAAGCCACTAGTGGTGACTAGGTAAGTAACTAGGCTGCTGTCACAAAGATGGAAAGAACAGGACCCAGAGCAGGGCTGAATCTTCTGTCCCCCTCCTCTGGACTCCAGGTCCTCCTCTAGGTCACCATACCACCGGCCTTGCCTTTGACATCTCATCTGCCTACTTTACAGCACACACAGATCTTAACATGGACTCTACATATTTAGCAGCCTGTTTCTAGGTTTTAAACACTTGGAATTGCCAAATTCATCACAAGATATGGACTCTACATATTTAGCAGCCTGTTTCTAGGTTTTAAACACCTGGAATTGCCAAATTCATAGCAAGATATGCCCAGAATGCGTTTAAAAGAAAGTGCTCCCAGAAAGTCATAGAGCTATCCTCCCTTGTGCAGTCTGATACTGGCCCATCCGGTGCATCTCTGGAAGCCTTTTCATATTGAAATACAATACTTGAGTTATTTTAAGGTGACATGACAAAAGAAATTTGGCAGAGGTAATGCTGGCTCTAGTTGTAAATGCTTGGAGAGGTGAGAAAGGCCAGTCTGGTTTTGCAAGCTCTCTACTGTGTCTAAACCCAGATCCTACTCTTTCAGCACAAGTGTTATAGTGGTTCCTGTGTACTGGCTCTTGGTGGCCTTGGGCCTCTGTGATGCATTTTTGCCACAGAATCAACCTGAAATATGAACTAGGTTTCAAAGGAACCCTAGGAGTGAGCAGGCCAGTTTGACTGAGTCTGTATTTTGGGAAGAAGTGACTCCTGGGGGCTCTGCAGTGAGCAGCTGTGCCTTGGCCTCTCCTCGGCTAGGCTCCTGGGCATCTGATACGTACAGCTGCCTTTGCCTCCAGTGTGGGGATGGTGTAGCTGAAGGCTTCCATGTTCTCAGCCTGGATGAATTAAGCATAATAGCTTAATTTTGCATGTCAAACTCTGAAAATCTCTGTCTGCTCAGTACCCAAAAGAGAATGGATATTTTCTGGCCTGGGCAGCTGCTCTGGAGCTGAGTCACGTACCTCACATTGGCTCTGCGTCCTAAGCCGCTGGCCTGCACAGAGGACGGATGGTGGGCTCGGGTTGGCCTGCAGCCTCCAACAGGAAATGTCTTGTTTGGAAGCTTTGATTATTCTAAATGGCTTCTGCCTAAATTTTGAATCACACACAGCCACATGTGCCTAGAGGGAACCAGTTCTGATCATGATTGTGCCCCAGTGTCACTTCTGACTTGAAAGCCTTTGTGGCTGGTATGTGGCAGGTGAGTCATTGTCCTGGGTTTAGGGTGGCCCTTAGGCTGGGCATGTGTGTGGTGAGCTAACTCAGCACTAACTAAAATAGTGGCTTTCCTAAACGGCTGGCTCATGCTGATGGAAAACTTTTAGAAAAGGGCCTTTAGAAGGTCATCAAATGCTATGTCCTTGTGAACATGACCGTACTAGCCTAGCCTTACCCTGGCTGGCCCCTTTGGCTTCTCTGCCCTCACAACCTGTCTCTGATGTGAGGGCTTCGCCAACTGCCATGCTTTCTCTCCCTGAAGGCTTGCCTGGCCAGGGGAAATCAGAACTAGTGGTAGTGTGGAGGTGGCTTGTAGGTGAGAGCCATGGGTCCCAGGGGGACTGGGAAAGGCCTGACAGCTTGGAGTAAGGTCAGGGGTCAACAGCCCAAGCCTGGGGGCTCTAACATCTGGCCAGGAAGGGCAGAGCCAGCTGGTGAGGAAATAAAGAGCCTGTTCCTAGGGAGAACGAATCTAGGAAAGAGAGGACAGAAACAGTGTCCGCTGAGAGGGCTGTCTCAAATGGCAAGAGTTTGCAGGTTTGTGTACTTACTGGTTTAGGACTCTGGTTTCAGCTGCCTGGCATTCTCCGATAGCTCGGATGGCTGTCACCCTGAGCAGGCTGCCTATTCCGTCCTCAGTGTTCAGTCTGGGGAGGGATTCCCTTTGAGTCCCTTCTTATGAATCACTAACAGTTTAGAAAACAGAGTCGGAAGCTGCCGTGTCAGTGGTTAATCAGTTGGCCCTATGACTTTTAAGCATTCTTGGCAGCAAATGTACTTTCTAATTTGATTTAAAGTTGTGCACGGATCCAGCAGCCATATGTGATTATATTCAAGATCATCGACATTATCTCATTACACCAAAGGACTCATTGAATAGAGTTGAAAAACAAGCACGAGAGGCAGACACAGATTCCAGGGAGGGGAGGAGAGGCCTGCTCTGACTAGAAGCAAATGCTGGACGGACTGAGGCTGGAGATGGGTTAGCTCAAGGGGGGGTGAGCCAGACTCCGCTGGCCGAGGGGAGCAGGGAGTCAAAGTGAGGACTAGAGGTGGTCACTCTGCTTTGTCCTCCCAGAGCCCAGGGGCTTTGCCCAGCTGACTTAAGGGCCCTTCCACAGCTAACTACCTGCAAGACAGATGGTGCCTTACGAATAGAACAGAAAATACACTGAATAAAATAAATTACAAAGCCTCCTCCTGAACCAAGATTTTTTGGAAAGAATTCTAAATAGATGAAAACAAACAATTTGATTTCAACCAAATTGTTGTTTTTTTGTTTTTATCCCGATTTTCACCCGAATTGTCAGTCTCAAAAATAAACACTGATACATTCCCAGAAAATATTTTTCAAATAAAAACTGACTCTGTTAAAGTTTGCCCTGATTCTTTCAAAACTGTGTACAAGACACTGTCAACCAAAGTGACTTGCATATTTTCTTAAATAAACTTGAACATATGCAGCTAAAATGTCATTAACTCCCTGCTGCCGGGGTGTTTTTAGAGTGACATAAGACCCCGGGAGCTGCAGTTCTCACATAAGGGTTCCTCGACCCTCACAGAAACGACCCCAAGCAACTGAAATAGTACGTACTTTAGGTTTTTTTTCTGTTTGTTTTTTTTTTTTTTTTGGTCTGAGTGCCCTCTGTGTAATTAATACTGAAAAGTGCACTGGGCTTCATTTAAGCCAAGCTTGATCTCAACAGTTCACTTTGTTCAAGAATGAGTTCTTTCAGAAGAGGAATCATGGAAGAAAAATAAGTTGAATTTTATATTGCTTCAGATACATTCGCTCCACTTATTGCTTCTGAGTTAGACATTACATTTTTGCAATATAAATTCACAATCAAGATTTTAAAGGGAGCTAAATATTTTAATCCAATTAGACAAGTGAACAAAACACTGAATATTACATGTAGTGTAGATAAGTGGTTCTTGCCTTTAAAAGACTGTAATTCCGTCACATCACAACCCCAAATGTCAATGTTGTCTTCATTTTTAACGCTTTCAAACACAAGGCAGCCAGAGGCTCCACTTTCTACTGTTGGTGACACTGTCTGTCCTTTGGGAATTCTTAAACTCTGTTTACCATGGAAACATGATTCACACAGAACAGACACCTGCCCATGTGCAAAGGAGGTGCCCAGGACTGTGGCACCCATGGGAACCAGAAAATGACACTTGACCCACTGAGGAGTTTCAGTGCTGAATGGCACTCTGTAGATAGACCCACAGACCGACCTGCAGGTGCACAGGCATCCCTGGACCCCCAAAGAGCTGCATCCCATCACATGGAAGATCCCCCATGTCCCAAGGGCAGCATCTCCACCCACTGTGTGTTCTCTTTGCTCTGGCTTCTGTAGAGGCAACAGAGCCAGTCCCTCAGGAAGGGGTGACAGGGCTGTCAGAGGCCCAGCCAGGTGGCCAGTAGGGAGGGGTGAATGTTCTTCTGTGGTGACCTGGCTGTGAACTCCTGTCCTACTTGCAACTAGCAATGTCTCTAGCTCTAGAGAGGCCCTGGCAGTAGCTCTGACTTATGCTAGGGAGGCCACTCTGGGATTTGGAGGCACACCAGAGTTGTGAGCATGGTAGACACTTGCTAAGCAAGGTGTCCCTCACCGCCATGCCCCACTGTCTGTTGCACATGGACAGGATGCTTTTCTTCCTGAACTGGTCTGTTCTACGTTACCTCCTACTGTGCCCTTCATAATACTGTCATGCCAGCTGCTCGGTTCTCCTGCCTGGATGGGCCAGAGCAGGTGGAAAGGATCATGGTAGGATCTACACTTGAAGGTCACCTGCCTAGGGCAGATCCATGTGGCCAGCTTCCCTATAAGAGGGAGCCTAGCCTGGGGTGATGCTGAAGTGTGTGCCATCAGTGCCATCACAGCACATTTGAGGGGCCACTGGAGAGAAGTCACTTCCTATCCTCCTGAACAGGTGGAAGAGTACAGCCCAGAAATGGTGTGGTGGAATGTGGAGAAGTAGAGAGGATGAGTATCCCAGGGTAAGGATTGGAGGACCCAGAGCTCTGTGACAGGAAAGGGAGGCAAGCCACAAAAGCAGCTGCCCTGTACATACCTTTCTCCTCAAGAAGCAGCTCTAAGTGCCCCTGGGGGAGCACCTGCCCTTTTTAGTAGATGCCTACTGCCAGAGGCGCAGCAACGGTATTTGGGATAGTGTGCATACAGAAAGCAGGAAGGGGTGTTCACTTGAAGAACTGCCAGAGGATGGGGTGGGAAGACCAGTCTGGGCCACACAGTGAGACTGCTGGAACATTCAGGGTTACCCAGTGCAACTCACTTGTGAAACTCCAAGCTTACAGTAAAAATTCAGAAATAAATTATGCAGAATAACGAGGGTTTGTGAAGAAGGCTCTGGTAGGATTCAAAGTGAGAACCAGTGAATAGGTCAGCAACAGTGAGCCCATAGGAGAAAACACAGGACAGTGACAGCCCACTGCAGATGTGGCCACACACCTAGGAAGGCCACAGGAGCAACAGGTTGGGAGGGAGAATGGAACATGGTTGTCAAAGGGTCAAGCTGCAGTTCCAACTGACTCTCATTCCCTAGACATGCACCTGCTCCTAGGACCACAGTGGCTGTGGTGTGGAGGGTAGAAATAAGCATCACCAATACCCCTGAGAAGTAATGGCAGATGATCCAGATCCTGGCAGTAACTCCTGCTTCCATATCTCTGGGTAGTTGCATGGTGAGATGAGGGCAGCTGAGAAATGTCACTCTTGCAGCAGTGTAGCAGCCCCACTCAGGCCGATACTTACTGGTACTTATTGTGGGTCAGGCACTACAGGGGCACTGGGGACCAAGTGTGAGGAGCATGAGGGTACAGAAAGCCTTCCAAACAAAAGCCTAAAACTGATGGGACACAGTGCCTCTGCTCCAGGAGCACAAATCCAGGTGACTCTGGTGTGCTCCTATTCAGACCTCACAGCTGTGGCATCACAGGAGGTTGTCCCTTGTCAGCAGAGCAGAACAGGGGTAGATCAGATGATGATACATTACCAGATAATCTCAAGCCTATGGGTACTAGAAAACACACTATGAGAAATGAGTTATTGCTGGGTTAAAAAGACACCCTGCCACATTCTACTTTCGGCCACAGGTCCTTGCCACTGCTCTGAACTTGAACTGGGGCTGGGGGATTTTTCTACTCAAGTTCATTCACTTCCATCTTTTGAAATATGCCTGTCATGATTTGTGCTGATCGCTCTTCAGTCATTAGCTTCTTAGGTTAGAAGCTGCTGTGTCTAAGGATCCAGACCATCTGCTTGGCCATCCACAGAGCACATGGGAGGGCATCTAGCCAGTGACTTGGAACCACACTTGGGTCAGTTCAGTGCAGGCTACGTGGCAGCTTAGTGGAGACCCTGTGCCTGCTGGCCACAGCTGGTGGCAGGCTGTAGTGAATGGTAGACATTGTACGCCACCCGCCCCCCACGTAAGGGTCTGAGGACAGAGGTCCTGTGGGCTCTGAGGGATCCTTACTTCTCTGACATAAGCACTCCTGCACTTCCCTGTCTTCGGCCACAGACCCACCTGCATTCCCTATAAGGTTGCTGCACTCAGGATCTTCAGTCCTGTGAGGAAACCATTCTGTTCACACGCTGGGTCATTAAAACCTGTCACCATGATGCTCACAAGGGGACGTGTGCAGCGCCCTCCTTGGGATGCTAGCTCCAGGCCCTGGGCTCTGGTTGAAGATGGCTCCCACTGACCCCAAGGCTAAGCTGGCCGTGGCCTGTATTGCACTGACCTATCCAAGTGAAAACTGCCGTATGGCGCTCCTCAGACCGGCACAGCACTGTGCCTGGTTATTTTCCACTGAGGTCACTGCACAGCCAGGGAGATGTTCTCACACACTGCCCAGGTGTGAGGGCAATCAGCATATGGCATGGCATTCAGAACTTTCCTAAGCTGTGGTTCTCCCCCATGCCAACATGAACAACACTTTAGAAATGTTAAACATCTGTTTAAAACTAAGAGACTTCAGTATACCAGACATCACCCTCTTGCACACAGTGGGTTTTTGTATGAAAATGCGTCTATGTTACAAGAAATTGCAGCTAAAAATCCAGACTTCAGCTCACCAGGAATTCAGTTTACCAGGAATTTCTTAGAGGTTTCTGGATGACATCCTAATTTTGTTCTACTTTTGCCCACCATAATGGCAGATCAATTTTCTAGTAAATAGAGTCTGGCACAAATCAACATCTACACTGGCCTGGTGTAGGGGACTCTGTTTACCTGGTAACCATCAGCTGTCCTTTTTTAGCAGGTATACAGGCCTGAAGTACAGGCCACTTTCAAACAGAAAGCATTGAAAATACTTTGCCTGATATTCGTACACAAAAAGGTTTTTGGTCTCTGGTGAGGAGAGAGGCACAAACTTTTAATACAGTTGGCTATTTATAATTTCCGTATTTTTAGCAACAGAAACTTTTTCTCTAAAACTTTAGTAATAAAAGGTGACCAAACCAGCAAATGAGAAAACAAATACCCAAGATCTATTTAAACTTACTTTTTATTATCATTTTTTTCCAGTTACCCAGCATGCCACAATCTGATTGCTGACCTGGATGAAACAGAGTGAAATAAATGATTTACAAAGAGATATTTACATTCATCTGATTTGTACTTAATGTGCCACAATGCACCGCAACTTCCCCAGGGCAACACCACTGGGACTGCAGGGGCCCAGTCCTCACACCGGGTTGGTCCCTGTGCTACAGACAGGCAGGTGCTGCAGCCTGCATCTGGACGGGGCTAGCTGGAGTGTGTGCTCACGACAGCTTCAAGTCACTGTTTTGTGTTGTTTGTATGCCAGAGTATACACAGGGATTTTAATAAATTACCTTTCTAAAGACTTGAATGTTATGTTTCCTTTTCACTTTGTAGTAGTGATGAACAAAACACACCAAAAAGGCACATATTTAAGTAGGCCGAAGAGTATTAAGGATCAGAGTTTCCTCCTGCCATTCACTTTTCTTTCCCTTTTTGTGATTAGATATTTTAAATCAATACCCAGTATTTACCATCAAATTAATGTGTGCAGATTCAGGAAGCACTATGCATTCTTTCCATTTGTGAACAACAGCCACCCCCCCACCCAGGCATCTTTGGCTCGATGGTGTCGGATTTTTATCTTCAATAGCAGTATTTGAGAGAGAGGAGCCTAGAAACGAACATATGTGAAATTAGAAAATTTACTTAGGCGTTATATCAAATATCTGTACACAGATCATATTTTTACTCTAAAATAGTATTTCTACTATACACAGTCAAGCCCTCAAATGCTTTAAAGGAATAAAAATGGACATTGGAAGGTCTGGGGGTACAGCTCAGTGGTAGAGTACTTGCCCAGCATGTGTGAGGCCCTGGGTTCCTTCCCAGCAAAACATATGCACACACATGCACACGCACACACACTGAAATGTGGTGTTCAAGAGTGACAATGAAACACTAAGGGCCAGGCTGTGTGCTGGATAAGCCCAAAGTCATACCGCTCTCCCCACTAGCAACCCAGCAGTGCCAGCCTCTCTGTCCAGACCACTCTTTCCACATGCTCAGTACCAGCCTCTCTGTACAGATCGCTCTTTCCACATGCTCAGCCTGCCCCTCACAATCATGCAGCTTAGGCCGTAGAGGTGGTGGCCTGACCATGCACGGGCCATCCTCATCTCTGGGGCATGTCAAAGGTGCAAGCCTGAAACAGAACTTCTAAGGGAGTGTGAAGTTTCTGATTTCATTCTATGTGCTAGACATAAAGCTGTCACACATTTTAACTGTCCTTAATTCTGTTTTATGTATACGTGAATAAATTATACAATATTCTAAAAATAGCACCTTTAAAGAATTATAGAGGTCACTTTATTTGCCTCCTGGATCTGTCAACCCCAGTGGTTTCTAAGTACAGCACATTTAAGAATGTCCCCAAATTTAGCTGTCACACACACACACACACACACACACACACACACACACGGCTGGTCTCCAAAGTCATGCCTTTCTGGCTATACCACAAAAGCAAAGCCAACTTCTACAAAAGTATCTCATGAGGTAAAATTAGAAATAGGCCCCATCTGAAACAATCCAGCGTAAATCAGACTGTTACCTAGCCGTTATAACCATCTACTACCCATATCTACAGTTATAAATCACCATCAAGTGTTGAAATACACTTAGGAAGTGTGCAGAGCAGTACATTATCAGGAAGACATTAAGGATAAACTACATTCCTTAAGAATGAATCCTGGGTCCACACCATTATTAAGACCTCAGGGGTCTGAGATCTACTCTGTCCCTGGCACCCCAGTAGGTGTGTCTTGAAACCTAGTGCTGACAGGCCATGGCTACTCTCAAGCCCTTCATCTGTTTGTATAATCATGCTATTGCCATTTTGCTGATGTAAAAATAATCCCCCAAGTGTTTTAAGGGGAATTTACATCCTTTCCTGTCACACCTTCATATAGCATTGGTTAATACCAGTTGGGGCTATTATTAATCTTTTTTTCCAGAGAAGAACAGAATTTAGTTTTCTGAAATTACAGAGTCACATCCAACAACAACAAACAGAGAAGTAGGAGATTGACATAGTGCTTTATTTAAGCTGTCTGTACGAAGGGAAATGATGTGCATCCCTATCAGATACGTGTAAAAATACTAAGGGTGTACAGTGTACAAAACCAGTTCAAAGCAAGGGAAGGAAACTTGGTCTCTGGCTTGCAGAAGAATGGAAGGATTTGAGAATAAGAGATCACATCCAGAAGAGTTGTAAATTTAAGGTGGCAGACTGTAAAGACCTCTTTTAAAAAAAAATTTAAGCATATTGACATAGTGCTTTATTTAATGTGTCTGTACAAAGGGAAATGATGTGAATCCTTATCAGATACATGTAAAAATACTAAGGGTGTACAGTGTACAAAATCAGTTTCTTGTAGTTATTTTGCATCCTGTGGGTCATATGAGTAAGGAAATGAACAGCTTTAATGTGACCAGCAGTGACTGACAGTGACACAGTTTCTGGGTTCACGGCTATGTCTGCTTCAAACCCTTAGCCAGATGACCAGGTCGTGCATGGACCTGGTGAAAGAACTAGCAAGTCAAGAAATGTCACAAACTATAAAGCTACAGGGAGGTAACTCAATTACCAATTTAGAGGTTTTCTTTTTATTTAAATAAATACATTTCATGCTTGCCTGTAATGCACTACCAGGAGCAAGATAAGGAGATTCTAATGTAGACAGTACAGACGGTAGCAGCAAAGTGTGTACACTGAGGTGTAGTAGAGACCCTGCAGTTAGTAAGGAAGGCCCTTCCTTTGTACTCTAGAAGTGGCCCTGCAAGAACAGTCAGCTTCAAGAAGCCGGAGATCAGGTGTGGGGAATGGAAAATACTGGAATAGTGCTATGTAATTAGTGTAGAAAGCAAAGCTCGGAGCAACCTTGCCAACAATCTAAGCAGAAGTGGCCAATTTCCTCCAAGATGGCTGCATTTATGACAAGAGGTCAAGATGGAGTTGGTAGCTGGAGTCGCAAAGCCAGAACTGCATCTGGACGCCCTGATTCCAGGTTTCAAGCCGTTCCACCTGCCAGAATGCAAAGTTCCAGCCAAGGGCAACGCAGGTGAGCGTCCTAACCTCCCTTTCCACACCTCTGTGTTCTGTTGTACCTCTGCCATTTTAACTGAGATCTGGGGGTACAAGGAAGGCATTCTTGAAATTAAACCCGAGAACACACCTGGCGTGACACTCAGGGAGCGAGGAGGGGGATGAGCAAGCCCTCGCATGGCTGCAGAACCAAGCACCAGCTGTGAGGAGTGGCCAGCCTGCAGCACTGTCAGCACCCCCTCATAATCTCTACGAAGTACCCTTGGCCAAGGTCAGGAAATCACCTTAAGACTTGGGGAGAATGACAGACAGAAGCTGTGTGCTTAGTGTACAGTGTCTGCTCCCTCTGAGGGATAAATGCTCTGAACATCAGCCAGGCTCAGCTTGCTTTTCTTCCTCTCACATTTCTTTCAGAACGGACGCAAGACAACTTAAAGGACATGCCTTCTAGTCTACTTTCTTGTCAATGTGAAACTTTCGGCATAATTCCAGGTGGGAGAAAAGGCTACAGATATTAAGAATTAACTTCCATTTCCGTTAACTTCCTACTTAATACTAAGGATGAACTTTCTCAGGTAGAAACATAAAAAATAGGATAAAATCTATGTCTGAATATGCCTTAGCTGCCTTAGTTAAATGCCCTTTAACCCAGTCAGTCCCAGTGGCCGGCCCACTGCCAGCAGTGGCTCCAAAGCTAGAAATCCACACTTTCTGTGCCAAGAGGCTAAGACATCTGCATGAGAATATGGTTCTTCCTACTCAGAAGTTGCCTGCTCTTTCAGACTATGCAATAATACTATGTCATGCTGTAGTCTTCCATTTGGGAGCTGTCAGTAACTAGAATACATTTCCATGATCACTCCTTGGAGCAGGGGCCCTCCTGCTTGCTGCAAGAAAGGCTTTGCTCCTTGGACTTCATAGCCTGCTTTGGAAAATGTCAGCTCCTAGCACCAAAGGGTATAATCTGAAGATCATCATGAATGAAGGAGAAAGATGAGGTTTGCATACATGTCCCCTCTCAGTGAGAAATGTTGGGATTGGGAGACATGAGTATGTACAGAAAAAGAAAAGCTAGAGGTGCTTGGTTTTGTTTTGTTGTTTTCCCTGATGGCTTCATTCAGTGATGAATGTACCTTGATCAGAATAAACACACCAGGTCTTATCCTTTTCTGCCTACTGTGTAAATATTTGTGATGTGTTCATTTGCCAAGTTCATTTCTCTCATCATTTAGGTCTTGGCTTTCTTCATTACTTTATGCCAGGCCATCCTCACACTTCGATTCTCAAGTGAGCAAACCATCAACATCCATTTGATCCACCAACCCCTTGACACAGGTAGTTGGGGATTTTCTCATTTCAGCACCAAGAGGTTAAATTACAGCATCTCTTCTCCCAAATCCAGATTCGAACCAATAGATATAATTTCAGAACCTTATCAATTTTTTTTACATAGGAGAAAAAGTGCATGATTCTAAATGGGCATGTACATTCCTTGCACATGGGTCAAAAGAAACTGCAGTCAATTTCTTGTGAGTTGGAGCTGTGTTTGCTAACATGACATACAATTCTCATCACTAAAAAATAAATACTACTGCAATATAAACAAAATCATAAAAGGACATTCAAAGTTTTAACGTCTGAGAAAAGCTAATTCACCTGTAACTGAAAGTAAAATCTTTAAAACTGATAAGGCAAACACCTGTTCACCTTGGTGTATAGATTTTGGTGACAGCAGGATCATTATACTGTCTACATTCTTCAGCCATCAGAGGTGATAAATATCAAGAAGGGGAAATGGTTGCCAAGCCCGGAGGAAAACACTCTCTGGTACCAAGTGTATCATAAGACCCTCTAGGTGACTGCGCGTGCACCTTGAGTTCTTGGTAGAACAATGTCCATTTGCCTGTGAAGTCGGGGCGAGGTATCCACAGGTGACGCTGGGCTTCCTCTACATTATCCAGCAGGAATGAAAAGCACATGTATCTCATCAGCCCTTCAGTTCTATCTCAACGCTTCCTAATGAATTCCAGCCAAATCTCAGTGACTCGCACCTACTTCGTGCACTGATCAGATGTGCACTGCTAAACTTCTGAATACACATCACCACCCTTCCACAATTGCTTGTTCAGAAATATAAACTAAATCTTAGTCTAATTAGTTCTTGATTTATCTTCTAGAAAGTTACAAAATGTACCTAGAATCAGTGTATCTCATTTAGCCTTCACTGCTAGGGAACAACGAAAACTGAAAGATCAAAAGATGACAGTGATGCACACGGACAGTGACGGGCCATGACTCCCAAGACTGTAGACGTGCTTCTTAAGTTGCTAGGATAGTAAGACAGCAGCAGCAACAGCATGAGACCTTAGACTGAGATACAATTTCATGCAAAAACAAAACTGGAGTGCTTGTGTATATGTGTTTTCATGTGGGTGAAAGGCGGTGGGGGTGAAGACCCTTGGCTGGTCAGGGATGTTGGAAGGTGCCCCTGCTATCTGTAAGAGCGAGGACTGGTGGTGATGTCCAGAAATCGTTCTCAGTAATAAATCTAAGATGACAGTGAAGCAACAGAATGAGACTTATTCTCGTCCACTCGCAGAGTAGGAGAACTGAGGGAAGTGTGGCCGCCGCTCGTTGTCCATGCAGTCCATGCCATCTTCATCATCTGGGGGCAGGAAACAGCGATGGTCATTAGGGTCATTATTATCTCTGGCCTATAGGCATACAGAGGCAGTAAGTGTCATAAACTTGTGTTTATGAAATATATCCTTTAAAAATTATGACTGAACATATGATCTATGAAGAAGTAATACTATAAAATCCACTCCAAGCTATCAAAATTTCAAGACTCAGAGACACTTGTAAAAAAATAATTACTGAAGAAAACAGAATTCTATATTCAATCATCTTTTCATTTTTGGGAACCATACATGTCTAAATTACAGAAGTCATTGAACTCTACAGAACCTCTTAGCACATGTCTTCAAGTGCTTGTATTGTTTTCTTCCTGGAGATCAAGGAATGACTGCAAAATAAAGCTTCTTGGGCAATTTTACTCAACATCTAGCATCTGCTTATCTCACTGTTCCCAATTCTCCTGTGGAATAGAAACCAAGATAAAGATGAGATGACCAGGTGGTAGCATTTACCTCCTAGCTCATCAAGAAAAGCTAGCAGAGGAGTCAGAGGGCCCTGGAGCAAGGTACTGAGCTGCTCCTTTCACCTTTCCTGTTTTTATGTATTTAAAAGACACAAAGGATCATGCATCCTCTTCCCCTAGTACATGGGAATCCTCAGTCACTAAGCTCTTCTGTGGGCGTGGCAGTATTTGATCACTAGGTCAACACCAGGTGGGCTCCCTCCCTAGGTACACTGCAGTAGGTGAGATCTAACACACCAGGCAAGGTTTGTAGAGGACATGGACTACCCTCTGCAAACAGACCACTTGCCCTGCCAGCATCAGAACCAAGGATGCAAAACCCGCTTTCCTTACAAGTACACATTCAGAACCAAGCTGATAACATGCATCTTCTAGATCAAATTCTTTATCTGTGTGAAAGCTAGGAGGAGCTGAGGTTGAGTCGCAAGGCTTAAAACCTCTACAGAAAAGGAAACTGATGTCATAATGTTCAGCTCTGACATGTGCCAATCACATCACACAAACAGTTTTCCCACTAACAGCTTTATTTTGCTAAGTATTCCTGCACAGCAAACGTGCAGCAAGCCCTGGACAGCACGTATGGAGAAGCCTGGTACTTGTCCTACTCTAGCCAGAGGGCAGAGACTGCTCTGGCTTCTGGCTGTGACTCGGCCTCATCCAAGCTGGCAAGGGTCTCCACAAAGCAGGGGTTGGGCTTGCCTTAGAGAGGAAGGGGATACTGTTGTGTGTCCAAAGAATTAGAAACAGCCTCTACTCTTTCACTTGAGTAACACTCATCATAATTCTGAATAGGAACAAAACTGAATCCATAGTCCACTTGTGAGGGCCCCCAAATCTCCATAGTCTTTAAAGGCACCCACTCCAGCTTCTCTCTGCAACCCCAGGGTTGGGCACAGTGATACCGATTCTATGACTATGCCAAACTGGGCAGGAGCTGAGGTGGAAAAGCAGCAGCTCCCCTGGCAGACTTCAGCGAAGGAACTGGGAGACGTGGCACCCAGTCAATGCATGTGAACTGTTCCTGCTAGGGAGGACCTCACAGGTACAATGACAGCAATGAGGAACATGAACTACACTAAGAAAACATCTGGAGAAAGAAACCAGAATCATCAGCACTGCAGTGCTGCACCTGAATCCCTGCATCCAAGCAGCCTCGGGCATCTGCGTTTCTCAGAACATTTAACAAATGTAATTAGACAGGAGTAAAAGTGACCAGCTAGCTTTCAAAGAAATTCTTTTCTGTGAGAGGAAAGCATAGGACCACTGATGGACGTAATGAAAGACAACACATTCCAAAATCTGTTCAATTAATTAACACCAGTAAGGACAATCTGGCACATTGCTGCAGCTGTTTGTAGAAAATGGAACATTTTGCTTCCTTTAACTGCTGATTTATTCTAAAAAAGAGAGAGAGAGAAAGAGAGAGACAGAAGCAAACAACAAACAAACAGAAAAACCCTGAACCATTCTGATTTATAAAACTAAGGCAGCCAGTGGGAAGACAACTGCTAACAAATGGCATCATCATGGACCCGTGAACCAAGCTTGGTGCATGAACCATGGGTGACGATGGTTTCTTACTGGCACTACTATTCACAACTACTGAAAAAAAAAAAAGACTATGCGCCACATAATAATGGTTTACTGTCTCTTTTCTCTGTCCCATAAGGAAATTCAGGACCTAGAGATTGCCAAAGTGAAAGCCTTGCCCTGGGTCCTGGTGGAACCAAGAGTTGCAGTTAATAGCCATTGGGGCCTCTCCCCTCTGACAGGAAGCTGGGGCAGAGCTGCAGCCTGACCATCCTCTAGAAATCCTGAAGGAGGCTAGAGGAGCTCAAGCTCTATGCGCTCCCTACCTCTAGTCTGTGACGTGCCCTGTCAGGCAAAGCCACACTGCTAGGCTCCTGTTGCTGTACTGTCTAGGACCCAGAAGTACAGCAGGCCACACCCCACTTCTGATGCACACAATAGCCAGATTCCTGCAGGCTAACACTGCCGATGGGTCTGCAGACCCACCAACATAAGGGCTTCCTGTGTAGTAGCCCTATCATCCTAGATATGGACCTATTAGTTCTTCAAAGGCACTGAGGTTTATGCAGCATGGCCCACTCTTGTTAAGGAAGGTGAGGAAAGAGGTTCAAATTACAATCTAGAAGCAATGCTGAGGATGTAAAGCACCTTCATTTCAGCCTCACTTGTAAGTTTTAGGAACTGAGAAATACTGCAAATCGCCATCAGGACAACTGCCACAGGTCTTGAGTTATACGTACAGAGGGAAGATGAACTGTTAAGGTATCTGTCCTTCAATCCTAAAGCTCTTAAGAGTGTGAATTAAGCATGAAACAACAGCTGACCAGCACAGGGTATTTTTACCAGCTTCTAATTTAACTTGCTTGAAACCAGGCAGACTTTTAAGCCGCTGTTGCTGTACTCTCTCCAGTGTCACATCTCCACGTTCATTCATTAGCTAGGGATTTATTACATTGGACCCGTCCTTACTTTTCATGTAGGTCAATAGGGACCAGTTAATCAGGCCACTCAAGTTTGAGTCCTCTAGGACCTTTCCTTAGGAGCTAGCTTCTTAATACAGAGTTCAGAGATTTATCCAAGAAGTCCTGTGCTTCTCTTGACAAGAGGACAGATGAGCTGTCATGTCCCAGAGCTAGTAGGTGGCAGGGACAAGACATGAACCAGGCTCCCCACTTACAGATCAGGCCTTTTCATTTTCTGTCTCTCAAACTGGGATTTTACTTTTAACTATCTATTTACAATTTTGCATTCACAGGTCAACTTATTCCTATGGCTTCCAAAATAACATATTTAACTTTCTTAAAGAGTCTACAAATGCCAAAAGCTTTGTTTAAGAAAAGAAACCATCTCGAAGAGGCTGAGACTAAGGACAGGGTCGTGTCAAGACCTTGTCATCAGAGGCAGGTAGACTCTGAGTTCAGTGCCAGGGTAGTCTTCATAACTATTTGCAAGACAGCCAGGGCTACAGAGTCAGACTGTGTCTCAAAAGTAAACAACAACAACAACAACAACAAACCCAGCCCTTTCCATCATGCTCAGTGGGATGGCCCAGGCCTGCTATCTCTGAACTCAGGAGGTTGAGGCATGAGGAGTGATTTCCAGGGGCAAGCTGGATTAGCAAGATCCCCCACCCTAACTTCCAGAAGACCCCAAGACTTTCCAGTCCCAATGTGCACTTTGAATGCCAGATGTAGGTAAGACAAAATAGCTCGGACATCCATCGGCAACAGCAGCGTGCTGAGGGGAAGGCATTCTCCTGACCCTCATGCTCCCAGGCCCTGGCCATGCTCTGTGTGTTCACTCATCTAATAAATACTTATTGAATATGTGTTCTTGGCCAGGAATCTAGCTAGTCATTAAGACATACGAGATCTTTCATCTCGGTGATATGATGTCATGGTGACAGAAAATAAAAACAAATTAGTAAGAAAAATGGTAAGTAAATAGATCAAAACAGAAGCATCATAATGGAATAGAGTATAGTCAGAGTGCACTGTTCTTTGGATTAGGAAGTCAGAAGCAGCTCTCTGAGAAAGTGACAGGCAGAGTTTTGAAGAACAAGGAGCTGCTTGTACAGATACCTGAGACAGAGAGCAGTCTCAGCAGACAGAACTGTAAATTCTAAGGTCCCAAAGCACAGTGAAGTAGGACATGGTCAAGGTATGGCTGGAACATGGGCACAGGGAATGAAGACAGAAAAGGAAGAGACAGGGTGGACAAGGCCCAGATGTGACAGGGCTGTGTAAGCCAGTGTGAACATTTGGATGCAGAGTGAAAAAGGCAAAGTTTCAAGCTGGGGGACCGTGGTCTTATTACAATTAGGGCTATGTCCAAATGGTAGAGCCCAACAAGAATTCTATGGTGGGTACTGTCCTTGATCTGCTCAGCCACTCTGTACTCCCTAGCATTTTGAACAATTACACTGCTATATTCCACACTGGAGCCAGAGGCTAAAGCCTGCCTGTAATTTCTACTCAGACTGCCCTTGGCTACTTGCCTGCAACTCCACAGGCCTTTGCACAGTCTCTAACCTTTAGTGATGCTAAATATCCACCAATGGCACATGCAGCTCACTTCAGCATGTTCACGTCTCAAAACTCAGCTGGGAGTTCCTGAACCCTGCTTGCAGCTGCGTGTGACACTAGCTATAGGATCGTGGGAAGTTCAACTTCTCTCTAGTCTTTAATTTCTTCACTTTAAAATGAAAGTTAAGAGGTTCTTAGCCAGGCATAATGGTACACGCCTTTCATACCAGTACTCAGGAGGCAGAGACATGGACCTCTGTGAGATAGAGGTCAGCCTGGTCTACATAGTGAGTTCCAAGCTACCTACAGCTACAAGGAGATCCTGTCTCAACAAACCACTGGGGGCGGGGGTTTCTTGTGAAAGGACAGAAGAGCAACAGAAGTGCACAAAGGCACACCTGGTTAAATGCTTAACCTCAGGGCACACACACTCTTCCTAGTGCCAGCCCACGGACCCCAGATGAGTCCTAGTTTCAAATTAATGGGAGTCAACCCCAACCACTGCAGGAATAACATTCTACTTTCCTCTTTCCTCTCATGGACATTCAGTGTAAGTGAGCAGTACCAACCATGAGCGGAGAAAGTGTGGAGGCCGTTCTTCCTGCTGACAGGATGCTATTAGATGAGCAGCACACGTGTGCCCGGAGGTTTTTAGTTTTCCAAGCATCACCCCAAAACTCTATCCTATCCTCATTCCTAATCAATGACAGACACAGACCTTTGTCAGCATGAAAAAGTTTATATCTGACACCCTTTTCTTTCATTTATACCCACTTATTTATGACATTTCTCAAAGTACAAGCATTTTTAATTTAATGTATTTGTATCAAAAATTAATAGCAAACTAAACTATGTCTTCACAGCTATCACTGCTTAAGGGAATGCTAATTTAAAAAGTCAAACTAAAGATGAGACCAGAACTGGCACAATTCTGAAGATGGATGGGAGTGCAGGTCGGGAACAAAAAACACCCTGCCTCAGAACTGTTCCAGCGCACAGCAAGGCTCGCTACAGCAGCAGTGATGACAGGATCAGCGGTCTATAATTTAGTCTACCCAGAAAGGGTTTCTCATCCCCACTCTCCTGTTTCCTCATAGGGAGTGCCAACCCCCCACCCCTGATTTTTTGAGATAGGGTCTGTCTCCCTGTAGCACCAGGTGAACTGTAACTCGCTATATAGACCAGGCTGACCTTCAACTCACAGAGGTCCACCTGCCTCTGCCTTCGAGTGCTGGGATTAAAGGCGGGCGCCACTATGTCCTGTGAGTTCCAATTTTAAAAAAACTTTTATTTGCTGGATGTGGTGGTGCACACCTTTAATCCCAGCACTTGGGAAGCAGAGGCAAGCGGACCTTTTTGAGTTTGAGCCCAGCCTGGTCTACATAGCGAGTTCCAGGACAGCTGGGGCTACAGGGAGACCCTGTCTCAAAAAGACCAAAAAAAATTATTATTTTATTTTTAATTATGTGTGTGAGTGTATTGCCTGCATGTATATAAGTACACCCATGTCGTGCACCAAATATATTGTTTTAGAAGACTATTTTTCAACTATTTTAGAATGTTATCAACTGCTTTCTAGATTTACTTACATTTTTCAGGTGGTGTTATTGTAATAGTCTGAGCAGTGAATTCTTCATCAAAATATCTGGTGTCTGTCTCAGATGTTACTTGAGGCTTAAAAGGAGGTACAAGCTACAAGAAGAAAAAGAATACTGTTAATGAACTTCAAGTCAGGAAAACTCACTTCTGGAATAAAATTAGAGAGCAAAGAGTAAAATGAACAGCACAAAGGACTAGAAGCCCGAGTGGCTGCGTAAGGTGGGCAGTACTTGGCTCCTTTGTTGCCAGTCTGCACAGACGGTACGTTTTTGGCTGTTACACAAAAATTTGGATGTGAAGCAGAACAATGAGGGAACCATAAATTAGCGTTAAAAGAACACTGAACCATTCACCTTAATTATTTTCTGATAACAGGTGCACAGGTGCCATGATGAGGATGCTGACCACCAAGATGCAAGATGGCTCTTCCTAGGGCAGCCAGAACATAAATCTTGTTGTCTGTCCTTCCCTCCCTTCCTTGTGATGGGCTCAATTAGTCAGTATTAAAATACATAACTTAGCTGGTAAGGCACTCTGCTGATCCTAGTACTTGCAAGGCTGAGGCAGGAAGATCACAAATTCAAGGCCAGGCTGGGATACACAGTAAAACCCTGTTTCAAAGCCAGCCAGCCACCCAACCAACCAAAGAAAAGCAAAAGTAAGCTTAATACAGCTGATTCATAAATCACAGACTGAGTACCACTTTTATGCTTTGTACAGAATTCTGCTTTTTTGAAACAGGTATTGATTGCCTACCCCTGCCATGGAATAAAAAATTTAGCAATCTTTGAAGCTCCTGCAAAATTATATCCATAGCTTTCGTTCCATCCTTAGAAAGGGATGCCTCCCAATAGAGAGTTGGAGAAACGACACTAGCGCTGACAGAGCTGGACTAACTCCAGCAAGTCCGGAAGGAGGCACAGAGCAGAAGGGAAGCTTAGGCTTTTGAAAGCTAGAGAAGCCTGGCCCATGTCACCCTGCACTGGCTGTGAGGCAACAGGGCAGTGGGAGCGTTTACCAAAGCTCTAATCCCAAAAGGACAGGAAAGACAGGTGGGTTTCCTTTTGAATACAAGACGTAGAGTCCCAGGACCTATAGTTACAGTCCATGACTGTAGTGGGAATCCCCAGAAGAGAATACAGCTCTTACAGGGATAGGAAAATGACGAAGAGAATGACAGAAAGCATATTTTGCAAAAATCTTACCAAAACAGAAATATACAACTGTATTTAGATCATGTTTTCCCCACTCTCACTCTAACCAAATTCATGTTACACAGTAAGACAAAATTGTTTGTTCTTGTCATGGTTGTCAATTTGACATATCTGGGAAGAGAGAATCTCAACTGAGGAATTTCCTCTATAGGCTTGGCTTGTGGGCATGTCTGTGAAGCATTTTCCTGATTGCTGAGTGATGTGTGAAGGTCTAGGCCACTGTGGGCAGTGCCACTCCTGAGCAGGTGGTCCTGAGTTGTGTAAGAAAGCAGGTTGAACACAGGCCAGAGGAACAAGTTAGTAAGCAGCATTCCTCCATGATCTCTACTTCAGCTCCTATATCCAGGTTCCTGCCTTGAGTTCCTGCCCTGATTTCCTTCAAACACAGACTGTGCTCAGGAAGAGAAAGGTGAAATAAAGCCTTTCCTTCCTGTATTGTTTTTGGTTGCCGTTTTATCACAGCAATACAGAATGAAACTAGAACGATTCTTTACACAGATTATATTTTTATAAAAGTTGGAGGATATGGGCTGGAGTGATGGCTCAGTGGTTAAGAAAATTTGCTGCTCTGCCAGTAAACTTGAGTTTTGTTCCCAGAACCCATACTGGGCAGCTTTACAACCACCTTTAATTCCAGCTCCAGAGGATCTGATGCTCTCTTCTGACCTCTGTGGACACTACAGTCATATGACTTGCGAAAGTTTTCTTCTGTCCCTGTATAAAGTTTTTTTCTGTCCTTGGGGGCATGGCATTACTGGTGAGAGAATCCAGGGCCTCACTCACTCTAGGCATATGCTCCACCACTGAACTGTATCCCCAGCCCATCCCTATGTAATTCTCTTCACTCTTATTGTCCTTCATTGACTAGTATGCCTGCTGTCATGATAAATTTGTTTCTATTTTCTAAAGTTTTACGTAAACAGAACCATATAATATGTACTCATGTGAATAACTCTGTCATTCATCCAGGAAACTGTTAGACAATATTCCATTGTATAGATGTATCACAGCTTATCCATGTCAGTGGAAATCTGGGTTGCATACAGTTTGGGAGCTATTACAAACAAGGCTTCTATAAACCTTTATATGTAAGCCTTTGTACTGATCTAAGAATGAGTTTGTTTTATGTATCAGAGGTGCCATGATGCTGTGATGCCTGAAGAAAGACAGTCTGACTCTTGGAGTCATTTAAAATTAAGAGTGAGCTGGGCATGGTGGCACACGCCTTTAATCCCAGCACTTGTGAGGCAGAGGCAGGAAGATGTCTGAGTTTGAGGCCAGCCTGTTCTCCATAGGGAATCCAGGACAGCAAAAAAAAAAAAAAAAAAAAAAAAAAAAAAAAAAAAAAAAAAAAAAAAAAAAAAAAAAAAAAAAACCCACAAAAACAAAACTAAGAGTGATCCCAAACTGTTCTTAGAACTTATTCTACTTCTGAGTTCTATGGAAACTGTTCTTCTGAACAAAGGACTTTCTATTTATCAAAACACTACATCCCATAGGATGTGGAAAAAGGAATGATAAACTTTATCTTATCATGGGATTTTCTCTTTCTGACCCCCTACTGACCCAGAACAACATACAAAACGACAAACAGATGTTATCAACCTAATTCCACTTGTTTGAGACAGACACATGGTATAATTCATTGTTTTCGATTGCTGCTGCTCCAAAAGATGATATTTTCAACACAGACACACACACACACACACACACACACACACACACACACACACACACTCACACTATTCTGAGTCAGGGGCAAGAAAGGGTCCTAAAGGATTAATGGTGTATGTTTTTAAACAAGCTGAGATAGTGTTAAATGATCTTAAAATATAAGGTGAATTTTGGTTACAAATGATTCCCATTTGTAGCAGTAAGCATTCCCAGAAAAGTCATTCCCATAGTTTTAGACAAATACTAAGCAGTAGAATGCTTTAAAAGAAAAAGCACTCAACTGTTTCCCAAAGTGCCTATACCATTTTACATAGTATCAACAATCATCACACATATTGTATCTATTTTATCAATATTAAACACTCCAATTGTGATAGTACTCCATTGTGCTTTTGAATTCATATTTATTTAATGAATAATGATGCTGAGCATTTTTTCCCACAACTTTATTTTTTCTTTGATGAAGTATCCACTTAACTATTTGCCCTTTTTATTTCTTATTAGCTTAACAGACTTCTTCACATACCCTGTACATATGCCCTCTATCAGATTCATGATTTTAAAAAAACCCTTCCATTTTATGGCTTTTCCTTTAATTCTCTTTACCTTGCTTTTGAGAAAAATATTAAGTCTTTACAGCTAGGGCTGTAACACACTTTCAGTTGATTTTACGTAATATCTGATGTTGAATTAAGATTAGCACCATGTGTCTTACTGAAATTTCATTGTACTCTTACTGAAAGTTCACTAATCACATTCCAGATTTAATCTGTTGAACATTTTGCACATCTTTAAGTCAACAACAAAGTGCTCTGAGTGTGTGACTTAATGTCTTTCAAGCAGGTGCCATAGGTCCTCGAACTTTTTAATTATTTTTTCATCAAGGTTGTTTTGTCTAACCTAGGACTTCATATTTTCATAGACATTGTAGAATAAATCTTTCAGATTCTGCAAAGCAGCCTGCTAGGACTGTGGTTAGGCTTGTGTTCAATTTATTTATCAATTCAGAGATATATGTTAAAAAATCAATCCATAAAATATATCTCTCATTAAAGAAAAATTTTAATTTCTCTCAGCATTTTATTTTACATCTTGTCAGAGAACAACTGTGCAGATTGAATCCAAGGCTTCGAGCATGCTAGGCAAGCATACTACTCTAACCTATATCTCACTTTAGTGAAGTTTACCTTGTATCAAAATAACACATAGATTAAGCATTACTAGCTTTTTATATAGTCATCGTATTTTTTACATACTCATACTCAAAAACAATGACAGTTACTTATTCCTAAAACAGTGTATACATTTTATATTTTTCTTACCTTACTGCAGTATCTAAACTCTGTAGCATAATAATGCTGAACAACAGAATGAGTATCTTTGCCTTGCAAAAGCATTCATGTGCATGCTTCTCCATTAAGATATTCACCATGAGATTTTCCTAAATGACCTTTATGAGGGTGAATAATTTTCTAACTGATTTACTGGAAGCATTTTGCTTTGCTTAAGTAAAAAAAAAATCTGTTTTATTTTCTTGACTGTATTTTTCTACAGTGAAGGATGGTGCTTTATATAACGCCTTAGCTGTATCCTACAACTAAACATTTTATTTTCATTCTTAAATCAGTAGAAATAAGTTGTAAGTTATATCTGATTTCTTTGATAAATGGATTGTTTAAAATTACACTGAGTTTTCAAATATATGCGTTTTCTCTGTACATGTTTTAATTTTAAATTTCAATTCATTCTAAGATAACATACTTTATTCAAATGCTTTTAAACGTATTAAAGTGTTCTCTTCAAAATATGATAAACTGTGGAATGTTTTTAAAAAGAATAAGCATTCCATTATTAGGTTGAGTATTCTATGGATATCAATTAGATCAAGTTGGTTCACAGTACTGTTCAGGTTTTCTACAAAACTGATTTCTCTGTACTTGTTCTATGACATATTTGTTGACAGAATTAAAAATATTCAGTTGTAGTTATGGATCTGTCTGTTTTCTGTTAAGTCTTATTAGTAAGTCTTATTAGTTTTTACCTCATGTATTTTGACATTTTCTTTTTTGAATATTCTTTTTATTTTAAAAATAATTAATTTTACTTTTTTGTGTATGAGCATATTACCTTCATGTATGTAAGTGAACCCATGTCATGCAATACCCACAGAAGTCAGAAGAGGGTATCAGATTCCCCTGGAACTAG